TAGCGATTTAGTTTATTTCATAACATAATATACATCACCATTGAATTTTTAGATATATATGTCGAAGCCTTCAGTAAACAGCCTAGCAGTGATGAACGCAATTTAGCCGTCTCGTTTAATGAAATTAATAAGGTGACCATGCCATGGCAATGTTGCTGGTCTGTGTTTAATTATGCGTTATGTACTATATATCTCATATCCAGTATACGCGGAATTATAGTGAACCAAGTCTAAGAAATAAATTTTGACAGCTGTCAGACTTATTGCGCCAAACATGCCAACCAAAACATGGGAACGTACAATATTCGATTCTTAAAAAAATCGATATAGATTATTTAGAATTGGTAATCATAATTTACAGTTTGGTTTGAATAATACCAAAACAAATTTAAAACGGATAATTTAAATTAAAACATAATATTTATCAGTTTCTTCGTATTTCTTCTGCTTATTTCTAGAGGCAAAGTTATAAAAATTTAAAATTGAAAACAGATTAAAAATAAATTTATTCAATAACCTTCAGTACAACTAGCTGAGCTGTCGTTGTTAGATTAATTATTATTTGATTTTCAATAATGCAGTAAAAATTAATGTCTCTTTCAAAGTCATCCATAATCATTTTTTGTTTTTTCTACTACTTCACAACAACCATCCTTTGTGATATGGACTTCGGCTTCGAATATATTTTTTTTTCTTAGATTTGGTTGACTATAGTCTTAACCTACTGTCTCTGACATTAACAAGATAGGCGCAATGTTGTATTAGACGCATCGGCTGAATATCATATAGGTCCCTAGTTGAACGGTGCCGTTTAGTAAATAAGCTAGATTTTTAATTGAAATACTAATTAAGCTAGTTGGCTGCAACAATTACATAGCATAATTTGGCAAGCAAAAAACGAAGAAACAAAACTTTACGCAAGTCGAAAGCGACTATTCTCTGTTACAAATGTTGTATTAAAACAATAACAAAATATTATTTCACCGAAACAACGAAACTAATCGATGTTAACAACCGTCGATAATATCTGATATGAAAAATCGTCGGTCATTCGAAATTCGGCTTGTCGTGTCGTGTCGGACAGCATGGCGCGGGACAAAAAACTACAAAACAAATATTGTGCCGCTATCCGAGTTTCTATCTACTTACCTGCTTCTATAACAGGCATCATCTTCAAATGATCGAAATACAGTATGTTATTATAGTTTACGAGATCTAGAACAATAATATTTGTTTTTATGCAAATTTTCTCTTTATTTTTGAAATTAATAGTTTTGTATCCACGTTGTCGATACACATATCTCGTTTTAGAGAAGTGATGGCCACTTTTCAAAAATTTTTAATAGATTATTTGAGGTCAATTCAAATTCAAAACTGCTTCACATACTATTATATCAATAGGTGTAAACTTTGTGTTTCTCATTAAATCGTAAGTTATTAAAGGCAGCAAAAAAACCTTGAAATATGTTTTTTTTTAATTCAAAAATCTGAAATGACAAACGAAGATAAGTCCACCTGATGGTAAGTGGCTAGTCCATGGACACCTGGCTAACTCACCTGAAGACAGATCAACGAGCCAGTAGTTATACTGACTCTTATATATTTAAGACAATTTAAGCACTCAGATACTTAGCGACTAAAATAATTAGGAGCGTGAACCTACACAGATGAACACCTAAACAGAAATGGATAATTATATATATATATATATATATATATATATATATATATATATATATATATATAAATATACCTAGTATCGAATTTATATATATTTTATTAATTTGCATTTATACAGTATAATACAAAGCAAATTTATGTTGCAGATGTGAACGGAAGAGTCGGAAAGGGACGCCCTAGCCGAAAGTTTATCGACCAAATTGGCGATATTTTGAAAATTGCCCACATTAGGAGTATCTACCCTTAAACGACGAGCGTGTGTGCGTAGAGATACGGATAGATATAGGGGTATACGGATAGATATACGGATGTAAAGGAGGCGAGAGAGGTGTGTCAGGATCGAGCCGAATGGAAGTCCGTTTCTTCTCTTCATTTTAGTCTATGCCTACTCCTCTGGGTAACAGGCGTGAGTGTTTATGTTATGTTGTGTTAAATTATAATACAAGTCCTTGATAAATAGGTACCATGATTCAAATGATGCCTTTACATTAGCGTAGAGAATTTTTTATGCATAGCCACATCACTAATTACCTATACATTTTTCTATTACCACGTATTTATTATCCAGATTTCGTGCACGTGTGCTTGGGCTGAATTTAGTAATTGAATTTAAACTAACTTTCCGATGAGTTAGACTTCAAAATTAAAAGAAATAATAAAAAAAGAAAAGTAATGTAACTATTTTGCATTCGGCTAGTTATGTATATTGTGCAAACAGTAACAACGTTTTGCGGTTCGACATAGAAGTTTATACTGTTCCACAGTTCGAGTTTGTCTATTTTTTGAATTCAAATTAAAAGATAAAATCGTATATAAATGTAATCAAACTAATGATTTTAATAACACCAGTGGCAGCGTTAAAATCCTAAAATATGCATAGCGCCGTATCGAGCCAGCTGTTCCCAAAAATTCTACGCATACCACTCCGAGACCGTCGTTATTTCAATTACCCGCGTCCCTCGTCAAAGACAAAAGACCTGACACGAGGAAAAACGACAACAAAAAAAAACAAAAAAAAAACAACTGCTCATCGCCGGAATACACAAAAAAAAAACAATCGTCTTATCTATGATTGGATCGCGGTCGTGTAAATGCACTCAAGTGTATTATGTTACCTTGAAGAGCCGGCTTTCGTTTTCGGTAGCGTTTTTTGAAATTGAAACTGGAATTATTTTTTTATCTTGCAACACCGCTGAGGTCCCATGTGCTTATCGTAATAATTCTTATCAATGGTCATTAAAATTACGAGTAGATTAAAGAGTATACCGCCGGGTAGTTGAAAGTGAAGAAAACACAGTTCTCTAGTCGCAGCAGTTAATGATTGTTTCAAAATAAAATTATAAATTTCTTTACACTAATGAGGCACGTGTACCGTTTGACCGATAGCACAGCAACTGGTTTTACGTGTGTCTTTAAGATTGTATCCGACGTTCTATATGGATTCTGTACGGATATCACGTTTTGTAGATTTTTTAGTCAAGTTTCTTGACCTTTGACATTTTAAAAGTTTTGGATTGCATGGCGAGCTTAAATTAATCTTGTAAACTAGATAAGAAACGCACAAACAAATAAACACACAAGAACCGAATTGATGTATGACAAAGTCTATTCTAATTTAAATTTGAAATAAAAAGCATAATAAGACAAATAAAAAAATATAACAAGAAGTAGTTTAATTAGAATATAATTTTTATACTTCTTATATTTGTTTGGGAATATAGTAAAGAAAATTTTTGTACAATAAAAAACGGCTTTTATTAACACAATATTTGGCCAACCTATGTAAATATTTGTTTATCTAAAACAACCCAACACTGGAATTGTTATATATACTGTATCATGTTTTGTATTAATTTATTGCGCAATTTTTTGCACTAATATCCAACATTACTATAAAAATAAAACATTACTATAAAAACTACGATAATACCTATATATAAATGAAAAACAAAAGCATTTATAATCACCTTGGCAATAGTTCCGTGTTCCGGGAATCGAACCCGTAGCCTCACTGTGCTGAAGCCGTGATTTACCGAGCTATCAAAAGTTTGAATATATGGTGTATGTTGCTCGTTTCTCGATCTACCAATTACAGAGAAATTAGGACGAGTGGCTCCAGGTATGTATCATACGAGTATTAAACTACAATTTCACCGACAAAGTTAACAACTTCTGTTATCTACTTATTTACAGAAGTTAAGGTAAGACAGAATAAGACACTATATTTTTTTAAATATATTCAAACTGCTGCACTACCTACAATAAAAACTAAATATTATTTATTAAAATTCAAAGATATCAAAATTATTCATATTACAATTTTTAATTAGAAATAAGACTGTCGCCTAAGAACGAAACGCATGCATTTAGAAAAAAAATTACAACACATCGGAACAAAGATAAATTACAACAAAAGATGCATTTTTTATTGAACCGGTGAAAAGATAATCTGTTGAGAGCTCCTAAACGGTGAGATGGTTACCCAAAGTAAATAACCGTAATAGCCGTCGCGGGCACAATGCGCCCCCGCTGCTCGCCGACAGGGGTTCGAACCCGCGGACCTCTTTTTAATTACAATATCACCCACATTATAAACTTTTTTCCCTGCAACAAAAACTCACTATGGTGACTACTTACTATTCTTTTGAAGTCGATTTTTAATTCAATATGTAAGACAGTGAAACGACAATATGACACTTATAATTGTTGTGGAATCGATTAATGTTAGTGTTGGAATTTAACGCCAATTAATAAATTAAATTAGCAATTAATTAATACAAAATATAGAAAAAAATATTTTTTTCTGATTCAAGCCGCTTTTTACTTTTTACTACTTAAATGTTTAATTTGTAGACTAATGGATAGCTTGGATTAAAATTCGAACACTACCCGCGGGGTAGTAAGCAGGTAGCACCCATGGCGTAGTAGCAGGCCAAAGACTATATAACCACTAGCAGGCCCACACGGTCGCAAAATTGTATCCTCCATAATAAATACACGTGAATGTATTGTTCCCATGTATATTTTCGCCATTTCATCGCTACGAATGTATGCAAGATATGATCCAAAATGTGCAATGTACAATCAGTTGGTCACGTACTTTTTAACTTTTTAATTGTTATATCTGCGTTGTTAAACTGCGTGTTGATAGTAGAAACTTATAAGTTAAGCCTTTAGGATCGATGTTAAAGTAAATTTGTAATACTATTTAACTTGTGACAAACAGCTTTTGAAATTTGATTTATGAATATATAATAACTATAGTATGTTACTTATAAACAAAAAATCATCGATTCCACAATAGAAAAGCAGGTACTCACGAATCCGTGTTTGTCGCTGATGTTGTTGGTCAGCTTGAGCTTGTGGAAGGAAACCACCTTCTGCATCCACTGCTCGCCGGTAGACGGCGAGTCCGGGTGGATGTACATCCTCTTCGGCATCTCAGGATCCGCCTTGCCGGCCACCATCCACCGGCTCCGAAAACAGAGGTTACGCTTAGCCATAGTTTTAGATAAAATAAAGTACACAATAGAATGTATTTTCAAATATTTTTTTAAAATAAATTGAGAACTAAATAGACGGTTGAAATGAAATAATTTATAATAATTCACATTAGGTATATGTATATATTACTAGTGCACATTAAGGGAGACTTTTACAGAGTAAAATAAAAAAAATGAATATGGAATATGTCATATTAAACCGAATGCCAGTCATTAGTTTAAAGCTAGCTTCAAATTATAATACGTGAGGATAATATGGTCTCTTTCCTAAAACTCAAAAATTACAGTCTTGTTTATATAGATGGCTGTGATACGATAGCTCTTTAGTCAATCAAATAATAAAGGGGCAAAAGGGCGAGGCTATTACGACGCCATTTTGACAGTTGGCATTATAGTAAATATTTTATTCGATTTTAGTACCTTCCTATGTACTTAGTTTTTTTCGAATTGCTCCTAGTTATTGGCAAAGCTTGTTTGCTATTTTTTTTCTTAATATATTAGTTATAGTACACGTCTTTGTGTTTTTGTCTTTGTCCTTCTTCATGTTATGTTTTTATAGGGCGGCAAAACTTAAGGTGACCATATTGCCAGCTTAAATTAAAGCATGAGGTCTATTACCCTCACATAGGTACCTTAGTATGTTTGATTTTAAGGCAACATGCGGAATCCAATGTCAATACAGCTACTTTGTACATGGTATGTTTAAGGAACCACACCGGAAATAAATGTGTAAAAAAATCATATATAACTACGCCAACCAGCATTACGCTCTAATGTGAAAATTACCATATTAATTTAACTACTAAGTTCTACAGTATCCTCTCACCATACGAACTAATGAAACATTATTAAAATTAAAATGAACATCGAATACTAAGTAATACAAAACTTAAAACGACGTAGATTAAAAGACAAATTAATTAAATATCTAATATATTTATTATTATTAATAAAAAAATCAAACGACCACACAGTTCACCCAATGGTAAGTGGATGTTGTGATCCACAGACACCCACATCTGTCCTTGATTAAGAATCATTTAATCATTTTTTTTTAAACCGTTACCCTACACTATAATTTTCTTCTGTATCACGAAGGCGGATTACAAACATAAATTGCACAAGGACAAGCATCCAGACCCGGAACAATTACTTGTAGGTCATTGCTAAGCCACTGCGCCACGGACCCGTCAAATCATAGATGCAAATCAAAACATAGATGCGGCTTCTGCCCCTTTGAGGACTAAGACACAATGCCTCGTTACCAGTAAAAAGGACATCCGATTCTCTTCACTAACCAAACAAAACACAACATCATTAAGCTGCTATTTTACGCTGGTATTCTGTGAGAGCGTGGTCCTTCCCTGGTTGATCTAACCCATTTGTACTGCAACAGTAATATAGCTGCATGTACTCGTAGTTATCACGTGAGTTTTAGACTAACAATAATAATAATACTTTTTAGCCATAAATGCCATTAATATAATCAAGAAAAATACCATATTATTTAAACCTTTTTACAAATATATGTATTGTATACAACTATCGTTCCTGCACTCGTTAATTTATTAAATAAATATGTCACGCCTCAGTGTCTAATAATTATAAATTTCACATTGAAAAACTTGATTGGAATCTGGTGATCATTTGAAAAAACTTCCGTGACAAGGTCGGACTCCGTTACGACTCAACATTAGAGATAAAGCGAACGATTGCACACATTTGCTTACTAAGTATTTCTCACTCCTCCCTTATCAAGTCAGCTGTTTGTGGTTAATTATAAAACGACATAAAGGTGCCAGTGCTGGCAAACTTTCAACATTCATCGACCAACTATTCGAATGCTCACTTATCTAACCGTATCTATAATAGGAGAGTCGTTATTTATCGAAATTAATTATTAATCAAGAAAGATTGTAATTAAAAGAACACGAGACTGAGACAGGTGTATGCATAAATAAGTTAAGTTATGACGATATATAAATAATCATGTTTATACCGACGCTAAAGCGTGAACATATTTATTTAATTACCGAATGGAAACGCACCGACGGAGTACAGAAGCGGTTAAAACTGCATGCATGGCTACAATTAGGCACCTACAGCTAGTTAATAAGCGTTATAATTGCTAAAATGCTCACGAAAAATCATGCAATGGCGATGAAAAGCGATCCAACATTATATTATTGAGATTAACAATGCATAAAAAGAATCGAGATCTGCGTCGGATCATAATTGACACAACAAATGTGTGATAATTGAAGTTGAACAATGATATTTATTACAGGGAAATAAAACTCAATTTCGAATCGATCAATAAATAGACGATAACGGTTATATTTAGTACAGACAGAGGATATTCTCTTCTTTTTTTCATTGATGGTTCCGTATAAAACCACGCAGATCCCAATCGCCTTCACACAGTTAATACGCATGCTTCTTGCCTCACATTTTGTAATGTATCGATTTAAATTAAAATAAGTTCTAACGCGGGCAGAGCCTCATCATAACTGTCGTTATTAAGGAGCTCTTATTTTAATTTAATTCCTTCAGTTATTTGTTTATACCTGTTGTGGAATTTGTATCTGCTTTCGTCGGCAGCTACGATGTCCATTAGCAAAATGTATTTTGCTTTTTTATCAAGACCAGAAACGCGAACTTTGTAGGCAGGAAACATACGTCTGCAAGCAACAGGAGAGAAAAACATGGGTTGGGGCTATGCGAGAACGGTTCGAACGTAGCGTCGATTGTGAGACATGCCGCCGAACAAGTTTCACTTTTAAGAAAATTTCCTTCTAATTTATAATGTTTTAGCTTGTGATCTCGGATCTAAGATAAGCGGCTCACTTATTTACATAATTATAATCTCAAGTATCGAATTAGGTCTTAACGCTTTTAAAAGCGAACGCTAGTTTAGTCAAGTTGTCACAAAATATTTGTGCTAGGCAAAAATAAATAGTTTCCGTGACTACTAAACGCGGCAGCGATCTCGCTCATTGTGCAGTTTTCCTTTGAAACATCGTGACCAAGGCACCTGAGCGTATGTATTAGGCACTACACATGAAACGAATTTGAACGCGAACCCCACAATATGAGTGACGAACTGAGCCAAAGTGACGCTAAATGTACGTCTCCACCAGTTGACCGAAGTAGATTTAGAAATCTCCGATCGTATAATTGCCAAATAATTTATGTACGAATGATTTGTAATAATTAATTATCATATTAACGGCGCTAGGCGGCGGGTGCCTTTGTCGGCGGCTGTATCGTTTCGCGGCTGACTCATTGTCGGATCATCGGAATGCTCGGATCGTATTAATTAACGGATATCAAATCGAAGTTTACCGCTCGTATCTCGATGTTGCCGAACTCGCGTCGGCGGTATTAACCCGATGTCGGATGTCAGTCGGAGGTGAAGCGTAGTTGAAATTATCGTAAATCGTCATCGGACTTAAAAGCAGTGAACACGACATATGGTCGATCAGTCTGCTCTCTCTATTTAGAGCATTTTGTAATTCCTCGTCTAATTCGGAGACTGTCAATTTAATTTGATTTACTAAAACGCGGAGTATCGAGTTGGCATTTCTCACCTCAGCTGGGAGGACAGCTTTTTACATTACGGCTGCGGTGCTTGAGCCAAAGATATTTTAATGATATTACCGAATGGATGCGTGTTGAATCCTTAATCGGCATCGATCCCAAGCAATGTTCGCTTGTCAAACAATGTCGTTGCCCTTAAATCGAGCGCGTATCTTACAAATTGTTAGAGTGTAATTAAGAATGAATTGAGGATTAGTTGTACGATGGGAACTAGTGCGAGGTGTGGGCGGCATCACAAGCTAAATGAAAGTAATGGTTCTGCTTTGAATCAGTGCGGACGTCTCCGATCGACGGTGCGGTGGCGCTATGAACTACGGAGCGGCAATCTGGCATTGGCATGCCAAATTCTCGCTTGTGATGATCGGTTAAGAAGTCAAGGTGAAGGGCTACCAGCAGGCGATGGATATGTGCTCTACCTGTTGTGAAATTTATATCGGTAGTCGTCAGCCGCGACGATGTCAAGCAGTAGGATGTATTTCGCTTTCGCGTCCAGTCCTGAGACGCGGAACTTCATTTGTGGGAACATTTGTCTGGAATTGGAAGTTACATGTTGTCCATTAAACTCTTCCGGTTCATGGTTACTTTAGTAATGCTAGACTTAAAAAAAACATTTAAAAAAATGAAATAGCTCCATGTAAAAGTATATCTATATAAAAGATGTGTTCAAATAAATCAAACCAAAAAGGAAACGTTTTTAAATTAAATTTAGTTCATTAAATTTATGTTTATTAGATAGTTTTTCTTTTGCACAGAACTCACAGAATAATAAAAAAACATTATAAAAAAGTGCCACGCTTTTCTGCTCGTTACCCACATGAACATTTGCTTGTGTATTATTAATCCAAGAACATGATAATGCAACACTGTTATTCTTGTTATAAAAGCATATTTAACATTAAAGTAATTGCAACACATATTTATCAAATATATAAGTATGGCAAAGGTATCTTCACTATGAGGCCTTTGTTAAGCCGTAGATTTTTGATATTGTATGAATAAATTATTCAATTAACATACACACACACAGTATACACATATATATATATATATATATATATATATATATATATATATATATATATATATATATATATATATATATTGCTGTCCCGCCTGCCAAGCAGACAACTCCTCAAGATTCCTCCATAATGTACTGAAACGTACTGAACATATAAGTCAACCTGTGTGGGAGGCCTATATTCGGCAGTGGACTTGTGATAAGCTATAGATGGTTAGATACATGAATTTATAAAAAATACATGCAACAAGATGATTGCATGTAAAAAGAAACATTCTTACAACGTAAAATCTTCGTCTTGTTCGAGATTCAAACCCGTGACACTTGTTTCCAAAGGGAAGTTGGTAAAACCGTTGCAATGTATTTCTTATTTAAGTTCCCAAGATTTAAGGATGTGAAGTAATTCCTACGAAGGCAATGGCATGCAATTAAATAAAAGTTTCAATACTGAACAATTTATCGCCAGGTGGATGCAATACTTTTAAAGCGGTGATTTTTTATCAATACGACAGTGATAAATTTAATATAGGGCTTAGTTATTCTACAAAAAAGTGTGTTTTTAAACGATTACGACGTATGAAATCGTATAACTCAAAATCTATTTGATCGATTATCATGAAAATTGGTATATATATGTAATTTTCAATGGAGAAGGTTTGTATTTATAAACTAAAAAGAAAAATAGAAATAAAATGTATATTTTTTAATTTTATTTGTTTTTCTTCAATTGTGCGCATTTTCTTTTTCAATAAATTAAATAGCAATAAATAAAAATAAAAAATGTTGTTGAACACAACCTATGATAATAACTGGCAGGATAACGTCTACCGGGTTCAGCTACTATGTAAATCTATCGATATAAATCTTACATTCGTTATTATTCTTTTTCTTTTTCGCAGCTCCTTGACACCGCTGTGAGTAGTTTCTTTGCGTCTGGCGTAGACGCGACAGTTACATCACCATTTATAGGAAACCATGAGGTGTTCCTAGCATTTCCTATCGCCACCTCTTACGACATCTACGAAAGGCTCATGAAAATGACAAACGACAACACCTTCTAGTTTTTTAAGTATAAGACTCCTCCTCTGTAGTAGGAGACCGTCTGGCTATGTACCATCTTCGTACCTATTTATCCCGCTAAATAGCAGCAGGGCCTGCATCGGTAAATAAGTAACTGCTGTGTTCTGGTCTGGAGGGTATGGAGCTAACATTTATTTTTTATTTTAATAAAAATGCATCACTCTCAAATAAAGAATAAGGGTGACAAACGAGCACACAGTCCACCTGATGGTAAGTGGATGCTGTGGCCAGTAGGAATCTACTTCTATCATCGGTAAGAATCAAAATGAAGATCAAAAAGAAGATGAAGGAATGCTTCGTTAGGTACAAAGTCTCCGGTTTCTTACACTCACCACACGAAACACAACAGCGTTAAGCGACTATTTTGTACTGGTATTTTGTAAGAGCGTAGTCGTTCTTCAGTGGAGCTGGCACATTCGTGTTTCAGCCATAAAAGAGCCAGAGCGTATGGTTTTATTCTGCAAAACATGCGTTTTTTTTATTGGATAGGATGACAAACGAGCACACAGTCCACCTGATGGTAACTGGTTGCTGTGGCCCATAGACATCTACATCCATCCTCGATTACGAATCAAAATGCAGATGCGTTGTCATCCGTGAGGACTTAGGTGGAATGCCTCGTTTCCAGTAAAAAAGGGTCTCCGGTTCTCTACACTCACCATACGAAACACAGCAGCATTAAGCTACTTTTGACGCTGGTGTTCTGTGAGAGCGTGGTCCTTCCCCGGTCGAGTCGACCCATTCGTGCTACAACTATCCTACTAATATAACTGCAGCATGGCTCTACCACGTTAACGGTTGATTTATACTTTATATCAATCAAGTCAGTAACTCTGGTAGGATGTATGCAGTAGTCGCCCGTAAACTGAGATGGTGCGTTATTGTAAAAGGTACCATAAGTAAGTCATAGATTGACTAAAATTAAAGATTTCTTCGTGAAGCACCGACGCTCCGGGAATTCTGCAGTCTGTGAACATGTTCAAGATCGTCCCCAACATTACATCAGATTTGATAAACCACAAATCCTCGCCAAAGAACACCGATTCCTACCAAGGATGATTCGCGAGGCTATTGAAATTAAAAAACATCCTAATTTCAATAGAGAAGATGGTAGGGTGCGGCCATCTGCTTGGGATCTTATAATTAACAAAATTAAACCCAAAACCAAGCATACCACTGCAAGACTTCAAGGTACTGTAAGCTCGTTTTGCGTAAATCGGACCAAAAATTAATATTCAAAAAATGAAGGTAGCCGGTCTAACTATGACATTGGGACGTCAAACATCTCAGTCCCCCCCGTGACCATGGGTGCTGTAAAGCACCCGAAACGTCGGGAATTAAAAATAAGTAAAAGTAATTAATTAAACGCGATAGAATCCGTAAATTTAGTTTTATTCAATTGACTAAAATTTATTAATAACGCTTGTATGTCTCTCTACTGGGCACAGGCCCGTTATTTTTGGAAGTTTTTGACACAGGGAAGAGGTTGCCGGGCGACTCCGATTCTTCAAATGCCCTAAAAATATTTTACAAGGTTTTCCTTCGTCATAGAGCACATGTCGGTATTAGATTTTTTTTATTTAACATTAGTCAGTTCTTCATTACAATACCACAGTGGTGGTAAGTGGTAATGAAACCCATGAAACTAGATGGCAAATCACACCATCTTAGCGTAGCAAAAGCCTTACTCACTTAAATTTAATATTGAATTTAACAATTTAATTTTGTGGGCAGGGATCGATCTCGGTTAGCTGGGTACTTATCCCTTGAATATTATAATAATACATTATAAAAATTATAACGCCAATCTCTTCATTTAGTTTGTTAATTCCACGGCATAGCCATTAAACTGCGACAATTAAGTAGAAGTTTACCTTCGGCAGTCGCCAGTGTGAACGCAGTTTAAGCCTCATTAGAACGGTGATTTATCGATGTTACGTGATGGACACACGGAGCGATTTGCCGACAAGCTGATGGATGTCGTGCCATGTCGTGCGCCCTTACGCATACCAAGTCCAAACTTTATACAAGTCTTTATGCCTTCGTATTGCTATTCCGCGAAGCACTCTCTAAACAAGTGAGATGCGCTTTTGCGATTTTCGGAAAAATATTCGCGAATTTTCTTACATGATCTTAATTTATACGACTTTCATCTTTTACACATATTTTTATGTGTTTTATTAGTGATAGAGCCATGCTGCAGTAATATTAGTAGTATAGTTGTAGCACGAATGGGTCGGCTCGACCGTCGAAAGACTACGCTCTCACAAAATACCAGCGTAAAATAGCAGCTTAATACTGCTGTGCTTCGTATGGTGAGTGTAGAGAACCGGAGGCCCTTTTTACTGGAAACGAGGCATTTCATCTTAGTCCCCACGGATGACAACGCATCTCCGTTTTGATTCTTCGAGGATAAATGAAGATGTCTATGGACCACAGCATCCACTTATCATCAGGTGGACTGTGTGCTCGTTTGTCACCCTTATTCTATAAAGAAAAATATTTTATTATATTTAGGTGAACAATTCTGAAACTAATTACTACGACGTTCCATTTTAACTTTTTTCACGCCCAACGTTTCTGTCGCTTTACAGCACCCATGGGTACGAGCTTACAAGAGGGACGGATCTGTTTGACATCCTGTGGTCACAGTTAATGATGTCTAGGTACTTTTAACTTTTAAATATTAATTTTTGGTCCGAAATATGCAGAAGTATCATTTAGTAGAATTCGGTCCACCTCTATATTGAAATCAGGATGTTTTATTTTAAATTTCAATAACCTCGCGAATGATCCTTAGTAGGAATCGGTGTTCTTCGGCGAGGAATTTTGTCTTTCATATCTTATGTAGGTATTAGTTGGAGTGATCGTGAACTTGTTCACATAAATAATGTAGACTTTCTAAATACTTTGCGAAATATTATACATTTTTCTTATTTTGGCTATATGATTTTTTGTATTAGAATCCTCCATGTAACAATTTGCATAACCTACAAATAATTGTTCCGAGTCTGAACGTTTGCCATGTGCAATTTATGTAGAGTATTTAAAAGGCCTTCAAGGTAGGTACTGGAGTATTCGTAGTGGGAAACGTTTGGAAAAAAACCAGAAATTAAATAGAAGCTTCCGCATAAATTAACAAATTTCGTTTTGAAAGACCTTGTTATTTGGTCTCAAATTGCATCACAAGTGTTTTGTTACCGGCATGGAAAAAAATTGCATAATTAGTTTACTTACATTTGTGTTTTTTTTTTATATAAGAGGAGGCAAACAAGCATGCGGTTTATCTGTTTGCTGAAGGATCTAAGCACATCATCACATTCTTTAGCGTAAGTGAAATAGACAAAAAACAACATGACATTTCTACTTGCGTAATTCACAAGCGTTACTACTCGTACTTCAGATCGCAGATCATATTTTTTGTTGGTTGTT